CTCCCACACCTCACTTCCCTCAGTCCTTTATTCTCAAGCTGAGGTGTCTGCTGAGAAAAGCCGCTCCACGTCAGCCTGGTCTGCTGGGGGGAAGGGGGGTGTACTAGCTGTGCCGCCCCTCCCCCCTCCCTCCCCAGCAGACCAGGGAGACCCAGGCGGCAGACGGAGACGCACCGCGGTCCCGCCGCCTGGGTCCTCCACGGCTTTGCTCCACGTCTCCCTGGTCTGCTGGTCTGCTGGAGACCAGCAGACCAGGGAGATGCGGAGCAAAGCCGCGGAGCACGTGGGCAGCAGGACAGCCCAGACGCGCCGTGGCTGTCCCGCTGCCGGCGTCCTCAGAGGCTTTGCTCCCTGTCTCCCACGTGGAGCAAACCCCGTTCGTAACTGCAGATCCGACATAAGTCGGATCCACGTAACTCGGGGACTGCCTGTATAGTTTAATCTTTTTTTTACAATGTGTTCTGAAAATCTGACCCCAAATTCGGTGCATAATGCTGAAAGTCCTTCATTTATGCACCATTCAGGTCAGCATAGACAGTAGCAGCGTGACCTTCATCATTTTGCTCTACTTGAGCCTTTCACATTGTTCATTCAATCCCTGATTCCTCTTCTGCGACTGCTGCTAGTGTTACAAATTGTGGTGATAGTGATTTGTCTGTGTTGTGGACACTGCTCTGTATGAACTGGCATTAAGAATAGAAACTTGGTTCACACATGACACCAAACAGCTGTTCGGGTGTAACAAGACTGTCAGTTATTACTTGGGCAATTTGAACTGTGGAATAAGGTTCCTAAAAGTATATTTAAATATTTTCCTGGATTGGGAACACAGTATTTAAGTGCATGTTTAACTTTGAGCACACATATTAGTCTTAGTGAAGTGAATAGAATTCAATCATATGAGCAGTCCTTACTCTTCTCCTCCCTCACATCCCTGCCAATGGAATCTGCTCTTGTGAGATGCACATCTTCAGGATATCCGAAAAATCTGACCGTTTGCAAAAAACCACTTGGCTCTCTTACATTATTGGAAATGATTAATTTAAAAAGAAAATGGGACAGGATGTTGAAAGAGCTATCCGATGGAATAAGAACTGTTGCAATTAAATGCAAAAACTTTTTTTTTTTCTTTTCAGAGCATTTGATTTGAAGGAAGCTCTGAACGCAGTAGGTGTTCAGATTTGCAGTGAAGTGAACAGGTCCCTGTCTGAGAGAGGATTTCCCACTCTCAATATGGAAATTCAAAACAGCCTAATAGGTCAGATCTGTAGCATTGTAGAAGAAGATAATCCTATCAGCTTCCTGATTGGTTAGTATAATTTATGTGGTTCTCTAGTTGTATGCATAATTTTTAAAAAATAAATGAAGGCTAATTGCCCGTCCATACTGTAAACTTTAGTGTATTAAGTTAAACACTGTGTTTTTGTGAAAATGTTAATGAAAATAACTTCCTTACAGTAAATATTGGGTCATAAAAAGTGTACAAACCTGTGCTGCTTCTATGGTTTATATTAAAACAGTCTTCTGAAAGATTAGATGGGGCAGGGAGGACAGCAAAGCTAGAAAGAGTCCAGAAGTATGAGTGAAATTCTCTGATTCTGGAGTGTTCTCTGTGAACCTAGAAATGCCAGGATTTCAGAGGAGAATATTAGTTAATATTTAATTTGTGGGTTGTGTGCAACAGTGAAGTATCTACCTCCTGGTTTAACTCAGTCGTCATTATAGTTGCACATCTTTCACAACATAAATCCTAATCCTAACATGAAGGCTGCCTCTCTACGATGGGCAAAATTTGACTTGTTCTGAATTGAAAATAAAGGGAGAAAGATAGGGAAAGGTAGCATTGAAGCTGTGTGTCTGCTTGTTTTGATTCTTTCATGTACTAGTGTGTAAAATATTTCTAAGGCAACTGTGGCTTAATGCTTTTTGGATTTACATGTATATGGTCTATTCTGTCCTAAATTGAGTTATCTTCTCTGTTTCAGATAAACGAATCCAGCTATATATGAAAAGCCTACTTACTCCTCCAGGCATTCAGAAATGTATGCCTACAATTCCAGGAGGCCTTGCTGTGATTCAGGCAGAGATAGAATCTATTGGATCTCAGTATGCAAGCATTGTGAATTTTAATAAGCAAGTGTATGGACCATTTTATGCAAATATTCTTCGAAAACTGCTTTTTAGTGAAGCACCAATAGGGAAAACAGAAACTGAAGCTTCTACTAATTGAGGGAAAAGTGTGCTCTGGTTGTGCATCCACCTCTTTTTCCCTTCACGGTATTTATTATATATTGTGAACTCTGTTCCCTCAATGTGTATAATTTACTTCAGTGATTGTTACTGAGACCGGGATAAACAGGTGTATCCAAAGGAGAATAAATCCTATACAGCCGGTCCCCGACTTATGAACGAGTTACGGACCAAACTCTTGGTTGTAACTTGAAGTGTTCGTAAGTCGGACCCCATTCATTTACATGCGACCGCGCTGTTCGTAAGTGCGGATTGCATTTGTAACTCGGGGACCGCCTTTATGAACACTTAATGGGAGGCTTGGTCGTAAATACGAACAGTCGTAAATCGACCATTCATAACTTGGGGACTGGCGGTAATATATACAGGTAAAGCTTCCAAAATTCATTGGAAGGCAACACATTTTTATATATAGATATATATAAATTTCATGGACTAAATCTGTTTAATGGATTTTAATACTCATTATACCTGATCACAATAAGTGTGGTGTTCTTCTTCTTCCTAAGAAAGCATTTTTGACTTAGTGTAGATTTGGAAAGGTACCTCCTGGTTTTGCCACTATTACAGTTAAATCAATGGAACTAATAAAAAATGTACTAAATACATTAAATTTAGGCTATGTCTACACTGCAAGGTTTTGTGTGGCGCGTCCACACCTCAAAAGCGCTTTTGCGCAAGTAAATCAGCAGTAAAACAGCAGAACCAGAGGGCTTTTGCTGATGTAGGTAAACCTCCTTCTACAAGGTATAACTCCCTTTTGCGCTACAGCTATTGCGCAAAAAGGCAAATGTCAACGCTCCAGAGGAGTTTCTTGCGCAAGAAACCCCTATGGGAAAAAGCACAGGTGTTCTGATGGCCATTCTGTGAATGGCCATCAGAGCTTTCTTGCGCAATAGTGTCCATGCGATGCACTTTGAGGTGTGAATGTGCTCTTGTGCAAGAAGTTTTTGTGCAAAAACTCTTGTACAAAAGGCTTCTTGTGCAAGAAGTCTGCAGTGTAGATGTAGCCATCCTGGTGCAATGACATAAAATGACAATTTTAGTTCAAATATATGTAGAGTGCTTTATTGGTGACTCACTACATAACAATATGAATCAATCCTTGAAAGACTTAGTGAGGAAAATATAGTGTAATTGAACTTGTTACAAAGCAAAGGATCAAATTAGGTCAAATCCTAGTGTGTTTTTGAAGATCAGAATTTGGCATACATTTCCCTAGTACATGCCAACATTACTGTATTGGTGTTAAGTTTACCAATGATAGTGTGAATATGGGCTTGCAAAATAGAAACATTTCAGAATTAATGTGATCCAATACTTAAAGATGACAGTTTAAACATTTGTATTCCTTGGAAAACTAACTTGGATGCTGACTTCCATTTCCTTAGACAAACAAATGGTTCTAAAAAGTTACCTATTAGAGGTCATATTGTCCTTTAATTAAAATTTGGAGACCTAATCTGCTTTTTTTTTTTTTTTTAAATATACAGTGGTTGCACCTTTGATCTTTAGAGGTGCTTAGGCACCTCTGAATTGGGACTTTTTAAGCCTCTGATTTTGAAAGCATTTATGCACAAGAGTAGCCTTATTGACGTCAATGGAACAATTTGAGTTTAAAGTTAAACATATATTTAAATGTCTTGCTGGAGCAGGACCTCAATTTCAAAAGCGAGTAATGGTTTTATTCACTGACACTGGATGCTTCAGTTTTCTTGGGTCTCAAGTTCAGCATTAAAAATCACTGATTTCTAAAAATTTAAGCCAAAAGCTATTAATTCCATATGAATTAGGCCAATACTGCAGCTTGAAAGTTGACCTGAGACCTTAGACTCATAGGCTGTGTCTACACTGCATCCCTTTTCCGGAAAAGGGATGCAGATGAGACAAATCGGAATTGCAAATGAAG